ATAATTTCTATCACCAAGGCCAAATTTTCTGACTCATAGTGACCCTGTATAGGGATTCGGAGGCTATAAATCTTTATGGGAGCAGAAAGCCTCATCTTTTTCCCAGGGAGCTTCTGGTAGATTCGAACTGCTGATCTAGCTGTTAGCAGCCCAACTTGTAACCTGCTAAACGACAGTTAAAAAAACACTATGGAGCAGTTCTTCTCTGTACCACAAGGGATCTCCATGAGTTGGAGTCAATTCAAAGACCTGTGCATTTATAAATGCCAGTTTTGGGATCCAGGCTGCCAATTTTCTTCAGTTTTTTAAGTGGTCTTTCTCAACATGAGCTAAATGTATGAAGGTGCTCTTTCTGTTTCTACTGTGATTGTTGGTGCCAAGCTTTGGCTTATGAAGTGCTTTCAGTAGGGATTAGGTTGTAAATTCTAGCCTCCCTTGAAGTGCTCAGGTCTTCTCCCAACTAAACTAAAAGCACGCTGACTATATCTTAAGTATGTTGAACAAATGGATGAATATCAGAATAAATACACAATGCTAGGCAAGGACAGACTTAGGAAAAGACTTTGCATTTCCACATACACAAAACCCCCACATATGAGCCATGTTTCTTGGTTGCAATAGATACCAATTCTGGCTATCTTTAAAAATATGAATTTATTGGAATGGCATGGGAGTAGACTCTAGAATCATGAGAAAGGACCTAACGACAAGCTCAGCAAAGGAGAAACGTAGGAAGTACAACTCCACCTTTTAGTATGACCCCACCACTGTCACTAGTCTCCTCTAAGACTATGGTGATGACATGAACCCTAATTTGGACTGGCCCCTCACTTTGCATCATGCAGATCAGACTTCCGGGTGGACTGATCCTTTAGTGGAACTTAAATCACATGCCAGAGCCTGCAGATAATGGATAAAGCAAGGGAGGAGGCAGCATCCCTGTTGGGAGGTAGGTCCCTGGGTCTGTCTCATCACAAATACACGTGGCAGGTCTGATTCCCCCAGTCTACTGCATGGGCTTCACAGGAGGGCACCAAGGACCTCACCAGCCATGGCTCTGGGCAAGTAATGTGTGATCCTTGCCCCGTCATTGCCTGTGATGGTCTGTTTACACCACTCATTTCTTCTTCGAGACTGCTTTGGAATAGTCATGAAGACAGCAGACATTTTTGGCTTGATTTTAATGAAACTGCTTCTAATGTTTCAATATGAAGGATTATGCTTGTTGAAGATTTCTAGTAGCTACATATCAACACAGAGAATAACTTAACAGATTTTTTTTTTTTTCCCAATGCGGAACCATTCATGCATTTCTGAGGTTAATTCATTCACTAATTCATTCATTCAACAACTATTTATTGAGTGTCTATTATGTACAAGCTGTGTTCTTAGTGTTTAGGATTAAGAAACACACACACCAAAAACAGAAGGACTAGAACAGCAGTGAACAGTA